TATAACAGAGCGACAACAAGGATCTGCGCGAAGAAGCCTTTTATTGGAAATTCTCACTACGCACAAAAAAAGTAAACAAACATCCCTATTGGCTGGTCAAAAACACGCCACATTTTATACTTTGGTTTGACCGATAACTGTGAATGAAAAGCTCAAAATTTCCGTCGAAAATGGAGAAAATCAAAGCCAGATGAATTCAATTGTCACTAAAAAATGTTTTGAAAGTCAAAGACCCGAAGTTATCAAGGGTTTTGATTGTTCAAAATAATGTTTACGCTTCCGACAAGTTTGCGAAACGTGCAACTTACGAGTTTTTTCGGCTTTATTTTTGTTGCTTGTTGGATCAGGACCTAAGAGGTCAATGCCGATAGAAAAATTGGGCAGTTCTTCGCTGGTTTCTTCCATATTTCAAAGAGAAGGGAAACTGCACTGCAGCTTAACAGGACGAAAACTCTGAAGCAAGGTAAAAAAAAAGCTCACGTTATCTTATTTACGCACGTCCGTGCGTAAATAAAGATTTTGTTCATAGCGGCTCAATAGGACTTACATAGTGCAAACACGCGCACTATGTTATAATCCATGTTTTTAAGAGCTAGTCTTTCGACAAATCGAAAGTTTTTGTTACTTGCGATAAATTATTCTCAAACAGTTTTCATTGATAAAAATCGCTTTTGTATGAGTAGTACTTTCAAGGGTGTGAGTTTTGAGCACAACGATCATAAATCAAATTCAACTTTGAATGGTTTAGAAACCTTGCTTGACAGGTTGACGTCTCATGAGCCAATCCGACGCGAGCGTAACACAAGACCAATCACAAACGCTCTCTATTTGCCTTGCTTTTTCGGTCTCATAAGAAATGCATACAAATAAAGTAGTTGGATAATAAATAATTTATAAAATAAATTGTTTAATATTTATATTTTGCGCTCTAGTTCGTAAATCGTATTAAGATTCAGCGATTCAACAAAAACGTGTGGTAGGACATATTTATTCCATCATCGACGTCATATTTTCATAATTATCTTCAGTAGGTGGAGCCGCGTGCTGCCTTTCAGGACTAAAAGCAGAAACAAAGTATTTTCATTCTTAGCTACGTAATTCTTTCTGTCTGTATGCCTCAATTAAATTGGTATCCGCAGTTTGTTATTAATGGTTGACTTAAAAAAGGTAAAAACACCCTCTAAAAGCTCAAATGACAGATTGGTCACTTTTTACAAAATAGTAATGATACAACTACACACGAGCAGACTATTTCCAACAAAACGCAGTTACATGGTAATACTCCTGGCCCGAGGAGATCTTTACTTTTGCAAAGTTATTTGAAGGATTCTCTGGTAGGCTCTCGGCCAAAGAAGAGGAAAAAAAACAGATCAAATGATAAATGGCTGCCTTGCGTTTTGTGAATGTTTCCGAGGAAGTGATGAACACGATGGAAGATAATTAAATTCCTTTGTTGATTTATGATTTATTACATTTAATTGTGATAACATCGTTTGTCTAAAGCTTTAAAGGGTGCGTTCCTCGTATCAAGAAAAGCGGATCAGCTTAAAGCTAAGCAGGTTTTGTTTAACGATTAACAATGACCGTATATGGCTACTTTGGAACACTGGCGGAAAATACACGCGGGATTTTTCAAAATTTCCGATTATCATACGAGCGGCAGATTTAAACCATCGGCAAAACTGGTGATAAGACAAATCCTCCCCGTGGGGGTGATTCTGGTAGATTTTTTAGGATGCAAATAGTTACGGTAGGGTGGATGGTGGGGCGACTGTAGCTTTCGTATCTGAAGTAAAGAGATGTCGCCGTTTTTTCCTTTATATTGCTTAAAACTGGCGAAAGATATATTCAATTAGAGGCTCACTGTGCGATGCAAAGGTGATGAGAGCATGTGTATCCTGGTATTAACGTCCGAAGCCTATCACGCCGTTGAATCATGTAGAAGACTATCGTCATTTGCTCGATTGTTTAATGTGCGTGCATTTAAATTTCGCGCTGCGTGAATGAGATTTTGTTCCTGATGTGCTCAAAAAGTTTCATATTCTCCTTACTCTAGCGTGTGATTTAAACCTGGTAATAACGTCCGAAGCCTCGCGCGTCGTTAATTCATGTAGTTTCATGGGTATCATTCTCTTTCCGTATTTCAATTCATCGAAAGGAGTTAAACAAACAATGGCGAGTGGAAATAGTCTCACACGCTCGTCAATTTCTCCCATTCGACTCGACTGTTCAATCCGAGTAGATTTAAATTTCGTGCTTCGTAAGCAAGAAAAACTGAATAATCTTCTCCTACAATTTTTTTCTGTTTATAAAAACCGATATCTAATTGATACCTATTCATCCTTTTGAGTAATAGCAGGAGGTGAGATTTTTTTCGCATAGTCATGTTCTGCTAGTTTCTTTGTCTTTTTTTGCTCAACAGGTTACGTGTATTCAATCACGTCACTGACGCTGTCAGATTCATCTACCAAATTTAAGGGCAATCAAATTTCGCGCTACGAAAGTTATCCTATTTTCTTAGTATGCATAAAGCGCTGCGCAATCGCCTCCCTTAATTTGCTTTCGCGCTATAAACCGCCTCCTAAACTTGTGAGTAAAAAATCACACCCTCATCTTGCCGCGCGTTTGATTGAAAACGAGAATAACTCTAATAGATATTCTCTCAAAAACTAGAGATAATTTCCTCAATGTGTCATCAACATCGTTGCAAGAATTCTGTGCTTTTGTAAAACAGGAATTCTCTTCTTAGGTAGACTTGTCGGTTCCAGAAAGTGAGCTCCTCATTAGAAAACAGCTGTGGGCCAGTTGACAGCTCCTTACTTTTAACAAAGATTGTTAAAATCCGCTGTAAAACTCTGATGGTTTTTAATGATAGAGACTTACTTTTAAGCAGGACCTGCTTTTTTGCAAAAGATAAATTTAAAAAAACTCGCACCTTCTTCATTGTGAGACTTGTGAGTGAAAAAAGATCACACCCTCATCTTGCCACGCGTTTGATTGAAAACGAAAATAACTAAAATATATGCTCTCGCAAAAACTAGAAATCATTGCTTTGATCAGTATATCTTGTATCATCAACATAGTTACACGAGCTCGGCGCTTTTGCAAAGAAGGATCCTCGTGTTAGGTAAACATGTTGGTTCTGAAAATGATGAGCTCCTCGTTTGAAAACAGCTGTGCGCCAGAAACAAGGTCTTTAATCGCCTCAAGGTTCTCCATAGAAAACTGTCACTTTCGATTGTATTTAACACCAGCAGTAAGACCAAAAAATATATTTGTACGTTGACTTTTTACCAGGCGACTTGACTTACACATAGAGAGAGGTGGTTTATATGAGTCACTGCAATACGGATAAATTTAATTATTTTTGAATTTGCGAACCTTTGGCTCGATGCGCTAAACGAGGGTCAAGTCTACCCTTGGGTACATCGATGGAGATTGATTTTACTAGTGCATATTTACACTACCCACTCCCCCAGTGCAGCAAAATTGTCACTCCGATAATTTTCTCGATCAGTTACGAGCTTTTCCGCCTTCCATCGGCCAAAGTCCCTCAGGACTGTTGTTTGATACTTAATGGAAAAGTTGACCCGGAACAATGGGCCATTTCTTGGTACGTCGAGGTTTTGTATTATAATTCTTGCTCCTTCTGACCCTATAACAGTAGTTAAACCAACTAATTTTTTATGGGTTCCATCAATCAAGTTATTTCGTAGATTATTATTGCATTTAGGTCTGTCGCTGAGCGGTAGTAGTAAAGTGGATCATCGGTATATCACGTCGAGCATTGCAAAATGTATTAAATGATATTTTAATAGATATGTCCAATGAAATAGAACGACATTCGGCCAATTATTGGCTAGTTGACGATTGACTATCTATTAAATGGTGACAGACCATCGATCAACAGTCCACCGACAATTAAACATCGTGTTACTTCGAAGAATATACCAACCACATTAACAAGAGAAAAATGATCCGACGGGTATAAAGCCATTGACGCTTAAAAACGTTCATCTCTTAAGAATTTCAAAGAAGTTTTCAAATATAACTTTGGATGACGGTTGATAATTGTAAGTGATAATATTATTATTATTATCTTAACTATTATCGTTATTATCATTATTATACATCATCATTATCAATATCATTTTCGTTGCCATTATGGTTTTCCAAACTAATTATTCTCTGAAGAAGTGGATATTTAAGTAGACAAAATGCTGTTCGGTTAATCTAAACCTGTGTCTGTTTCGCAGATTTTTTGTGTCTTCTTGCGACATTAAGAAAACGACGAATTCCAAGCTATAAGCCATGTTTGCCTCCCTGGTTCTGTCGCTTTGCGTGACACTCGCATTTTCTGAAGCAAAAATAGCTATCAAAGGTGAATCAAACGGGCTTAAAGAAGCGAAAAAAGCTACCAAAGGCGAATCCGAGGGGCTTGGAAAAATAATTTTCCTACCGAACATAAACTTGCTGGCCGACTTTCAAGAAAAGGAGAATAGCATTTTTGATCCACTTCCACCAGAATGCTTCAAAAAGTTCATTAATACAACGTCCAGCAGCAATTTTGATTACTATAAAAATACCAAGGCATTTTATACGTCACTTGCCACCGAGTCAAGCCTAAGCGCATCGTTAACCTCTACGTTTACTTTGGGTGCTACTGTATCAGTGGCAACAAAGAGCAAAAGCTCAGAGAAAAGCGAAGTGAGTGGCATATCTTTGATCAAGCAGGCGTTGGCAGAAAAGATATACGTCGATAAAAAATGCCTCACAAGTGCCAAAACCTCCACCCTAAATGAAGAATTCATGGAATACCTAGAGGAGTTGCCATTAAAAATCGATCATCCTTGGCTTCCCAATTCTTGGGAAGAATATGAAACTTTCTTGGATAAATACGGCTCTCACGTCATAACGTCTGTGGAGACCGGATCGAGATTCCAGCAAATGGTGTTCGCAGAGAGCTCTGAATCGTATAGTGAAAGAGATTTCCAGGTGAGAGCCTGTGTCTCGGCTGCAGGTCCCACGGATGTTGGAGAGCTTGGTCTTTCGGCTTGTTCTAATGTGACAAACAGTGAAAAATCCAAGGCAAGCAAGATGAGCACTAGCGAGACACGGTTCGTCAGGGGAGGACTAAGGGATACAAATAGCGCGTTGGCAAATGGAAAGACGTCGGCTGAACTGATTAAGAAACTCATGAATGAAGCTGACGAGGCACCTTCGCCTGTCCAGCATACTTTCAAACCGGTCTGGGAAATATTAAAAGATCGCTTCAAAACAGGATCTAAGAATCACATCCGAGCAACAATTCTCCAGTACTACTACAGTGGATACTTGGGTTATGGTTGTCTCTACAGTAAAAGCGGAGATGTTGAAGTTCAAAAGTTCGACTACACCAAACAATCAGAGAGTAAAAAACCAGAATTGGAATGTTCTCTCGCTAAGGAAGGTTGCCATAACGATGACGATTGTCATTACGTAATTGGAGCCTGGTGTACTTGCAAAGGAAAAACGTGCGTTCGCTACAAGTCGGTGAAACAAATTACAGGTCAAACCAAAAATACTGCATACATCAACAAACGAAAGTGGGACTGGAAAGGATGCGGTTGGAAAGTCTGGGGGTCAAGGTGTGCTTGCAAGAACAAAGATTGCAATGAAAGGAAGGTTGTGTGGTCCTTATCAAATAGTAACCAAGATGCTGGCAGGCATAAAGCACCTAGAAACGGAACCTACTTCGAGGCAAAGGATCCTGCCACGGGTCAAGCGCAAACACCCAACCCAGCTGAAGATACTGCCAAACACCCAACAACCGACAGTACCAATCAACACAAGACAAAACATCCAATTCAAAATCAACTGAAAGAAGAGGAAGAAGAAATTTGAACTTTCTCTTATATCACATATAATCAATGAGGTGGTAAGCGACTAATAAAGCTAAATGAAAAACTGGACCAATTCAACAGTTGGCTATTTGATCAGAGTTGGACAGCTGTCCTTGTAACATTTTGCGCACAGTTAAGTGGAATGTTAAAATATAAATCCAGTTAAAATGTTAAAATAAAAGAAAGCGCATCCACGTGAGTCAAACTTATTCTTGTTAAGAGAAAAGGGGAAGAGTACATTAAGAAAAAAAAATATTCAAAAGATAGAAATGCAGCAGGCTCAATTTCTTTGGCTGCTCCAGTTCGCGGCGATTACTGAATCAAGAACCTGTCTCATTTAGCGAGCCCGTCGTTAAATTAGAATCACAAACACGTCAGGTCAATGTTATCCCAAATAAAAATCAAAGCTGTGCAAGTGATGCTGCTGATGACGACAAACGTATACTACATCTGGGAAATGCCGTTTCGCGTAGTTTTTCCTCTACTAAAAAATACGCTCGATGGTATCAATCATGATTATCGGCTAAGATGAACCATGATAGAATTTAAGAAGTAGCTCACCATAAGTTGAAGTCGTATTCCGTAATCGCACGCGTCGATGCCTTGTCATTGGCTCTCGATCTTATGTCTGCTAAAAGGCTGACCACACGAGAGGTTTGAGTCCCCGTGCAGTCTCTTAATTTGATATGGTAATTTATCCCTTATCTTCAAGGACAGATTTTGGTTTGATTCATTTGATCAAAGGAAAGTCACCTTTGATCCGTTTTGATAACAGTCAGTTGAATAGAGAGTAATACAGGGGCGCGCGTAGATATGGATAGCTCACGAGTGAGTGATGTTGAGTTGAACAGAAAAGAGCAGAGAAGAAAATTTCCATATCTACATGCAACCATGTATTATTTTGTTTATCATATAAGCACAATAGCCCTTTAATGACAAGAAAAGCTGACTTCATCAATGAATGAAGATAAATGAATCGACAATCCCCGAATAAGAATCGTAGAGTGCGTTGGCGCTAACTCTTAAGATGGAAAAATGCGTTGAATCATGATTACAAAAACAACAATGATCGTGATTTTCAATTTACAAAATTCTCATTTATTGAATTTGTCTTTACCGACAGAAGAAGTCTTTCAGGTAAACGGCGAAAATCGGCCAGTGGCAAATCTTCCAATTGTAAATTTTATTCTCAGCCGAGAGAAATACTCACACCAAAGCCACTGAATATGTAACTTTCGGTTTTTCTTTTAGTATATTGGTTTCCTTCCCCTTCTAAGAAAGTTTGAACCACACAGTCTGTCAGCGATACGGATTTTTTAGTGTTTTAGTCGGCATAACTCGAGGAAGCTCCGACAAATAACTTGTATTGAGAATCGTGAAAGCTTTGCCGTTCATTCATCAACCTGACCGAGTGGCGCTAAAGGCGAGTGACGTATCAGCGGCTGATTGGCTTTATCAATACACGTGAAAAAATACGATATTTTTTCACGTGTGTTGTTACGACTTTTCTCAGAGCCGGAAATCCTTGTATAACACCGCAGTTTATGTGATAAATCAAGTTCACCAACCTTTCATTTCCTGTGTTGTCTCGGGTGATTTGACGGATTTGGTTTCCTCCTTTCCACCGACGCCCCTCCACAAATATCGAAATTCTCCAAAATTATCCTCCTGCCTCCTTCCAAGTCATTAAGAAATTGATGAAAATTAGTTATTAAGAAATTACCAGACCCTATTACCCACATCTCAATACGCCGCTAGAAACAAAAGAAATGTTCTTTCCTGTAACCCTGCACCTGTACTACCCGAGATTTAGCAAACTTAAACATTTCAAGTATTAAAAAACTTCGATAGGACACAACTTTTTCAGGTAAAAGATTTTCCTTCCGTTCACTTTTTCATCACTATTTTCTCTACATTTTGAGTATCATACCTTTGCACAGTAAAAAACGGTTAACACCATCCGTGGCATATACGGATCTGCTGCCTGACCTGCAAGTTTAAAGAAAGCTTTTGATATTATCATTGCCGTTGTCACCCTTATTATTGATTTTAGTGTTCTCATCATTATTACTATCATCATCATTATCATAATTAATAGAGACTGAATAAGTTTTCCCGACATCAAAACAAAAATAGGAAAAATTCTTTACTTACTTAAATCTACCTTTTTACTTTAGGTGAAAGTTTCCCCGAATTGGTTCAACTTGTGGGCCATTTGTAAAAGTTGTAAAACATTGACCCTTCGGTGAAATCCATTAACTTAATGGATTAAAGATCTAGATTTGTACCTGTTTCTATCCTTTACATCATCTGGCTAATAGACCATCAACGCTTAATAAAGTTCAGCTTAAAGACTTAAAGAGTATAACGCAGGTCCAGTGGAGCATAACATTACTCACACACGACGATATACTGGTGGAGTCTAGTTTCATTCATTACATCTTTTAACCTATCAGCTTGTTCATGCACATCTCCATTTGACCTCAGACTTCTAAATTAAGCTCGATTTGTGATCTGTAAAGGCCAGACGCACCCCAAAAAATCGATACATCACAGATACTATCTGCCTCGCTTTTTCCGCTCAGTAAGAAATGCGCTTAAAAATAAAGCGGTTGGATAAGTGATAACTTATTATACGTTTTGTTGTATAATATCACAGAGTATTGTTGTATCGTTGTTTGTATTTTGACTCGCCTTATAGGCTCGTCAAAATACGGCGCAAGTCGCAAAAATATTCCGTGATACTACATCCTAAACGTCTAATAAGATATACATATCTGAATACTCCAACTTGCTCAGAGTACAATTCATCTAAATCAAACTGTATGAACGTGTGTGAACGAAGTGTTAGCACTTAAAACCGGCAATTAGATATCGAACAATAAAGGTTACACGATTGCACCAGACAGTTCTGCTGAAACATTTTTAACTGTTTAAAGAGGTTTGTGTGATTTCTTTCCTGAGTTCAATATTAGTATCGTCATTGTTAGATGACTATATATTTCACACGGAAAAAAAGGACTTCATCGGCAAGTTAAGGCTTGTCCAAATGTCATGTTACTCAAAATTTGCATATAAAGACAATGCAACCCGCCTGTTTTAGACTACTTTAGAAAGGTTGAAAGATGAGTGTGGAGAACAAATCACTGAGCCGGCAAAACTTGTTTGAGAAACAAGATCCAACTCTCAACTTCATTCAACTGGTCTCGTTAAATGAATTTGCGGTGGGTTTAGAGGTTTGTTTCCGATAATAATTGTCGCACGCTATTAAAAAGATTTTTCGTGTTAAGCTCTAAAGTTGAGGTAAAATACCGAGAGACAGAACCTCAGGCCACACTCCGATATGCCGCTGGAAGGAAAAAAAAATGACCTTAGTTAAGAACCTTGCACCTTTCGTACCCTAAGAGCTTTAAAAAAAATTAAACTTTTCAACCCTTAATTGACTCCGATACGACACGAATTGAATGTAGTTGGTAGATTTTTCTTCCTTTAACCATGTTATCATTATTGTATCGACATTTTAAGTATTATACTTTGTGTAATAACGACCGGTCCACTGGCACCAGTCGTGGCCTACATGGATCCGCTGATTCGTATTCCAGTTTAAATAAAGCTTCTATTATTATTATCATTGTGATCGTCCTTCAACATCATTAGTATTATCATTATTTTTAGTATCATCATCGTGGTGACTATCATCATTAAGTGAATATGCAGTTGGTTTTAAGATTTGAGAAAGATAACAATTGTTGCACGCCATTATAATGATTTTTTGTATTGAGTTAAAAACGTACTAGCAGGCCAATCCACATCCACATTCCAATACGCCGCTGGAAAGAAAAGAAACGTTCTTATCTGAGAATCCTGCACCTTTAATACCCGGCTATATAGCACACTTAAACCTCTCAATTCTTAATTAATTTCGATAAGACTCAACTCAGTCGTAGTTGGTAGATTTTCCTTTTATTCACCTTTCTATCTCCCTTTTCTCAACATTTCAAGTATTATATACTTTTGTTTAATAACAAACGGTCTACACTTGTCATGGCCTATACGGATCTACTGACTGGTCTGCAAGTTTAAGATAAAGCTTCTTTAATGTTATCACCCTTATTATTAATTTTCGTGTCATAATCATCAATTCCGTCATCACTGTTATCATAATTAAAAGAGAATGAATAAGATTCCCCGACACCAAAAAAGAAATAGGGAAGATTCTTCACTAACTTAAATATCCTTTTTTCTCTAGTTGAAAGTTTCCTCGAATTGCCTCAACTTGTGAACCGTTTGAATTATCGATGAGTTAAAAAAGTAAAATGTTGACCTTGGGCTAAAACCAATTACCTTAATGGAGAACAGATTTATACCTGTTCGTTTTCCTTTCATCGTTTAATTCATCTGGTTATTTAGAACTTACTCATACATGATGATAAACTGGTGAAGTTTGGTTTTAACCATTAAACCTTTTAACCTCTGGGCTGGCCACATGAAATATTCTGTGACCTGAGACTTCTAAATTAAGCTTGGTTCTATTGTAAAAGCATAACGCATCTGATCACATCCACAGTTTGCATATTCTAACAAACCGAGGAACAACTCCATAAGGTAAGCACATGGCAACGTTTCCTAATTGAACCAAAGTTAGAAATCAATTAGATGCTAAAAATCAACTTAATCATATTACCATACTTGATAGCTTCCAAGTTATCTGCTAATTTTTAGCGTTTTTCATCGAAAGAAATCCGGCTGAAGTAAAAAAGTTAATCATGACACTAAAATAGCAGCGCTCATGCCTGAAGCTCATGGCGCTTTACAGTCAAGAACTCAGTTAGGAGAATGGTGACATATGCAGACAAATAAAAACTGCATCAAGTTCATAGTACAACTCACAAAGAAGCATCAGTATTTTCAACGGCCTAACCCAGACACTTATAGAACAAAAATTAATGAACTTTTTTGAATAGCGTTGAGTGTTCCATTCAAAGTTTCAATTCTTTCAGTGTTACTTCTGATGAACCAATACTCAATCTATACGTCAGGCATGTAAGGTATTTCGTTGCCAAATTCAAGTCCATGTAAGGTCTAAGAAAGTGAAGTGGAAGAATTAACAAATAAAGGAATGGATAGGGTCCCGATCCTTGTTTGAAAGCTATGGTTTTATGATTGACCGAAGATCTCCAGGTCAGGTCTCACAGTTATCCTTATTAGACGTTTCTTTTATTCTAGCTTGTTTGCAAAATAATTTTTTCAGAAGTTTAAAGCACAATGAAGAGGAAATAATAAGTAACTACGCGACAAAAAGATAAAACACGTCCCTTAATCAAGAGGCTAGTTTAGGAATGGCCATTTCTTTCTCATCAAAAGATCTTCTGCAATGTTTCTCATGCTTGAGCGCGCGCGCCGTTTCACTATACGCACTTTCACTATTGCTTCTGAGTTTCGCGTGGGTTTTAGAATTAACTGTCGTCAGATTTCATGTCACAGGTAAACTTAATCAAAGTGACACTATGGTAAACTCGTGGATAGACTGTGCAGAGTTCCACTTATTGTTCGTATTGTTTATTTTGCCGGATCAAGTCAAAGGCTGCAAAATAAACCGGACATTTAAATCTTACCCTCCTAAAAATGATCAAGTTCGTAAGGCGGAATCGTCAGTTGTTAAAATTTTAAGAACTAAGTTAATCTGCGGAGCATTTCCGGTACAAAATCAGCTGTCATCCCCAATAAGACCCTCCCCGATTGATCCACCCTTTTTAAACAATCCCTTCGCCGTCCTTAAAAAGACGCAAGCTCTTCCCAGTCTTTTAAGGCCATGCTTGAGTCAAGAAATTTGCAAATTGAATCCCCATATCACTCGTTCCTATGCTTCGCATATCCACGGGTAAAATATGGACGTCGGCTTTATTATTTTTATTGTCTTCTTTTAAAAGCGCACTTTCAAGAAAGCGAGTCTCGGTACATGAACGATGCGTCACCCTCGTGTTAAGCCGCAGTGGTAGATGTATTCCCCACAAGCGTAAAAAACAGTCACCAATTATTGGACAAGATAGAGGTTACTGTTCGATCATCGAGTATTTTTTCACAATCATTTTCGGTCGGCGGGCAAGCGCTGCCTTTCAATAATAAAGGCAGAAACGAAATAGTCTTACTCTCAGCAACTCAATGTATCCTGTCTGTATGCCTAAATTACATCGATGGCAAATTTTGTTTCCTATTTTCTGCTGTTGACAGTTTGTTATTCTTAGACTCAAGACGGTTGATGAGGTAAAAATATTAGTCAGTCAGCAATCAACAAGTCCAATGATCTGTCCTGTGTCAAGACGATCGATATGGCAAAAATACTAGTTGGCAAGGGGTCTATATGTTCAATGATCTGTCGGGTATCAAGACAATTAATATAGCAAAAACACTGATTAGCAAGCAGTCTACATGTACAATGATCTGTCCGGTATCAAAACTGTTGATATGGTACAAATACGAGTTGGCAAGCAGTCTATATATCTTAATGATCTGTCGGGTATCAAGACTGTTGACAAATGCCAAACAATCAGTCCAGTGATCTGTAGGGTGTCTGAACAAATCCGTAATTTCTTCCTGATAGCGAGATTTTGACATGGTAAGCTAAATACTTAATCCGAAATAGTACAGAAATAGTAACGTAAATGGGTTTTTATACACAACAGACATCAGGAGGCTTGACACACTGCTAGATATAGAACTGTAAGAGCGATAATGCGTAAAATGGTTTAGCCTGGAGGAGCTTTGCGAAGTTCTCAAAGACAATCATCACTAAATTTCAATAATCACTTTATAATTATTATTAAAAAAAAAACTGAAAAATTGTTGTTCCTGACATCATTAGTTATTATCATTATTATTACTTTTATTATTATCACTATCGTCATAAATAATTAATAGTGCTACTAACATTTTCCTAAGCAATTACTCTACAATGAAGTCGATATTGAATAAAATGTTGTTCAGTTAATTTAAACTTTAAATGTCTTTATTTCGCAGATTTGTGCCTTCTCGCAAGTATTAAGAGAGAGAGACGCTCTTCAAGTAGGGAACCATGTTTGTCTCCCTGACACTGTTGCTTTGCGTGACCCTCGCATTTTCTGAAGCCACTAAAGCTACCACTGGTGAATTAGAAGGCCTTGGAAAAGTAATATTCCTTCCAAAGATAAATTTATTGGCCGACTTTCATGAAAAAGACAATCGCATCTTTGATCCTCTACCATCAGATTGCTTTACCAAGAAATCCTTGAAGTCCTCAAGCAGCAATTTCAATTATTATAAAAGTACCAAGGAATTGTATCAGTCACTGGCGACCGAGTCAAGCCTGAGCGCCTCGTTAACCTCTACGTTTACTTTGGGCGCTACTGTATCCGTGGCAACAAAGAGCAGAAGCTCAGAGAAAACTGAAGTGAGTGGCATATCTTTGATCAAGCAGGCGTTAACAGAGAAGATTTACGTCGATAAAGAATGCCTTGTGAATGACGAAAAGTCCACACTAAAAAGAGGATTCTTGGACTATTTAGAGAACTTGCCATTAAAGATTGAGAAACCGTGGTTTCACAATTCTTGGAAAGAATATCGTACTTTCCTGAAAAAATATGGCTCCCATGTCATAACATCTGTGAAGCGCGGATCAAGATTCCAGCAAATGGCGTTCGCGAAGAGCTCTGAATCGTATAGCGAGAGAGATTTTCAGGTGAGAGCCTGTGTCTCGGCAGCAGGTCCCACGTCCGTTGGAAAGCTTGGCGTTTCTGCTTGTTCTAACGTAACCAGCAGTGAAAAATCCAAGGCAAGTAAGATGAGTGTTAGCGAGACACGGTTCGTCAGAGGAGGACTAAGGGCAACGAATAGCGAGCTGGCAAATGGAGAAACGTCAGTAGAACTGATTAAGAAACTCATGAATGAAGCTGATGAGGCACCTTCGCCTGTCCAGCATACTTTCATGTCGATCTCGAGCTTATTACAAGCCCGCTTTAAACCAGGGTCTAAGAATTATGTCCGAGCAACAAACCTCGAGTACTACTACAAAGGATACTTGAATTATGGTTGTCACTATGATAAAACCAAAGGTGTTGAAGTTCAAAAATTCGACTACACCAGCAGATCGCGTGAAATATATCCAGAATTCGAATGTTCCATCCCTGAAGAAGGTTGCCGTAGCGACGATGATTGTCACTACGTGGTTGGTGTCTGGTGCACTTGCCGAGGAAAAACGTGCGTTCGCCACAAGTCGGAGGAACAAATCACAGGGAGTTGCAAGGAAACTGCATATATGAACAAGAAAAAATGGGACTGGAAAGGATGCGATTGGAAAACCAAGTGGTTTACGTGTGGTTGCTACAATGAAGATCGCGATCAACGAAAGGTTGTGTGGTCCTTACCTACCACTTCGAAAGATGCTGGTAAACATAAAGGACCTGGCAACGGAACCTACCACGAAGCAAAGGATCCAGTTATAGGTCAAGCGGAAGGAACGGAAACACCTAACACAGCTGAAGATAGTGCCAAACACGCAACACCCAGCTGTACCAATCACCACAAGGCAAAACATCTAATTCAAACTCATCTGAAGAATGAGGAAGAGAAAATTTGAACTTTCTCTTGTATCACATGTAATCACTGAAATGGTGAGCGCCTAATTAAGTAAAAGAAAAACTGGACTTATGCAACGGTTGGCCATTCGATCAGAGATGGACAGCTGTACTTTAAACGTTTCGCGATAAGTTAAGTGGAATGTTAAAATGCAAATCCAGTAAAAGTGTTCAAATAAAAGAGAGCGCATCTATGTGAGTCAAAGATATCCTTGTAAAGGGGAAAGGGAAAAGAATACATTTGGCATAAATTCTCAAAAGATAGAACTATTGTTCCCGTCTTAAAAACGTGTCACTGAGGATCATGTCAACTTAAGCCAATGAGAGTTGCACGTTTGATATTGATTGTGAACATTTTTGCCGTGATTTTCCCCGATTTAAAATTTAATATGATCGATAGCGAGCTAAAAAGAACGTTTAGGGAGTGGTTGTCCAATACCACGGCTAGTAAGGAGTCGTAAAACTGAGTTGTCGATCTGCACGATCCGTATGGATCGAGTGATGTATTCAAGAGTCGTATGATCCCTATGAGTCGTAAGGTTGAGGGAGATTTTTTTCCCCAAGCGAGTGCCTATCTGGCTATAGTGAACTGTGTCGACTCGAACAATCCGGACAATCCATACAGATCGTCTAATATTCACGATTTGCACGACCCGTGAATATATTGTCCTCTAAGGTATTAACAGTTCATGCTGTCGTTCCGTAAATTTCATCAATTAGACTAAAACGTCAAAACGTGAGTGTCTATCTGGCCATGGTCGTGTAATGTGTTTCCGAGTCGTACGACCCGAAAGGGTCATGCCGTCGTTCTATGATCTCATTAGGGTACCGGGTTTTGTCTGCCTGGCCAGGTGATGTATCCGAACGGATCCTCCAATATATTCACGAGTCGAGAGAGATAGAAGGGTACCCTGAACGAGTTGAGTTGTCGAATCGTTCGATTCATGGATAGGAGTAACGACTCGTTGCCGAGTCGCAAAATGTATTTCATCGGTGGCACTTACAATATAGCGTGAGGGTCGCAAGAGAAGGGCGCACTGTACGATTTGTCAAATCATTTGATCCGTACGAATCAAGGATACGAGTGACAACTCATATTGACCTCTATATTTTCTGCGTGAGTTATGAGTGATGTTCAAAATATGAAGAAGTCAGGACGTGTAATTCTTCACTGCCTGAGCTTAAAGAACGACGCAAACACATATTGGCCTTGCTCGTTTGTTTTGCTGCGATTCATGAATAAACAAGATGACCAGTGCGAGTGGCACGACTCGTGAGTACATTAGACGATTCGCACAGATCTTTAAATCGTCCTAGCCAAACTAGAGTGAATACAAACTTAACATTTGTTATCAATGGCCAAGAAGGACATCAGAGTCATTTGTTGTAAAGATGGAAACAAAAAAAAAATCCAGCATACTGATAGAATACGCTACGTGTAAGACATATGTATTACACTATATAGCCATTTCACCTGGTCAAAACCATTTATTTAAATACAAATACAAAATTGGCCTTGTCAGTCATGCAAAATCTGTCCCCTCTGTAAATGAACCTATGACTGTAAATAATTAAACACTTCAAATGATTCCCAACTTGAACTGCAAATAACCCCAGTGGAGGATTATAAACGATCCTGAAACTGAAACGACCAGTATTCCTTTTTCTTGAAGTTCTTCAAACAGCTAATTCATACAAAAAAGTAATTAAATAAAAAAAGAATCTAAATTAGAGAAAGGAAGCAAAAACTATTTTAAAATATTTTGCATTCGACAGGGGACGCTTTTTAGTTTAACTACGAACGAATCAATCTCAAGCGAAAAAGGTTATGTTCGTTCTCGACTAGGCTAAGTGTCAAATGAGTATCGTTTGTTATGGGATGATTCTCGCTCGTCTCTCGAGTCCGCTTTCGCTTCCCCCAAAGACGCGAGGAAGGAACATGGGTTCATGAGTTTTCAAAACAACGGCTTCATTTCCTTAAAAAAACGTAAAGAAAACATATGCCTAGGAACTAGTTCTTGGTACTTGCATATTCTTATATGCTGTTTGGCGACATTAAGTCGCCAAGTTACGCCTACGCGCGTCATTTAACTCCTCGGAATTTTATTCCTTACTTGTAGTCCTTACAGAAAGGCCGCCTTTTTCAAGAGTCTCATGAAATTTTAAGTATCAGCGCTAACGCAATGTGACAAATGTTTATCTTTATTTTCGGCTTTCTGCCAAAATCAAGTGGGTTGCTGGATCCATCGAATAGTTGATGGAGCAAAATTAGTGGCAATTAACCCCTCCGGTAAAATCGATATGGTAAAAAAGTTACGGCTGCGCACTTGGTCGCCTTCGGTTATTCATTAGAGTTCCCCGATCAACACGGCAAAACTTACTCTAAGAGAACGATGAACTGTTGGAGTTTTCAAAATTGAGCCTTTTGACATAACAGCTCCTTTTTTAACTATGACTCCTAAATTAAGCTAGGTTTGTGATCTCTAAAGCCCCATGAATCCTACCTAATCGACAAGTGACAGATATTGCGGTGTATTGGGAAAGTATCTATTAGGAAAGTATCGAGATGAATCTCAGCTTTAGTTCATTTAGGTGTTTATCTGTAATCATGCAACTTGTTCAGATTACTATTTACCTAAATCTAACTGTATGTAATTTTGTGAATGGAGTGTTGGTTTTTTAAATCGGCAGTTGGTAATTTTAAGAATTTTTTAGGGTAAGGTACCGAATCCGATCCTACCGACGTGTCGGCCGATACACTACAGGCCGAGCGGAAGGAATGAAATATAGGCAACTAGTTTCCAAAGATTTTCTCTTTCTATGAATGAGAAGCATCAGTAGTGTGTCGGAGGTGCGTCTCCCTCATCTTGATTTTGTTTGTTCTTGTTGCTGATTTAACATGCTTTTGTTGCTGATTAACCTGCTGAAGTGAACAAGTAATAATGGTTTCTGATTTCACTCCTTCCCGCTCGGCCTCGGTTGTATGCCGGCCGACACGTTGGTAGGACCGGATTTGTTTCCTTACCCGAATTTTGGGTGTCAATCTTTAGAGACATTCCAATTTTCGGCCTAAAGACCTTAACATCATTACTCTCCCTCAAATGTCTTCATTATTTGCACATTATGGAAACGATACTGCCTGACCTTTTGAAATGGTCAAAAACACAGGGTCATTCCGACAGTTTTGCCAATATTTTCTGATTTGCCATTTTTTTCTAAATATAAATATTTGACTTGCACAGACAGTTTCAACAAAATATAGATATGAACTGTATGTGGTTAGGACTAAGCCAATTTAAAAAAAATTGCTGTGGGAAACAATATACTTCAAACTCGAAAGATCAATTTTTATTAGTCCCAAAACATTACGTATTAAAATAGCACTTCGCAAAGAACGATATCTAAGCCTTCGTAAACTTTGAAATCTACCGCCTTTTCGCAATCTTTCCCCAGGTGTTTTCTTTTGTTTTGACCTCTTTTTTAGGCGACGAAGGCGTATAGTTGCTGGAAACCCTGAAGTCCACTATAACCAAAACTGACCTGGGCCACATTCCAATTAGCCGCTGGAGGAAAAATAAAGACCTTATCAAACCTTAAGAACATAAAAACAAGCTTAAACCGTTCAACACTTATTTGATTTCGATACCGAAACAACTTAAATGTATGTAAATAGAATAAGAGAGATGGTAAGTTGTGAGCTCGGTAAAGCACAGAGAAAGATGTCTTTAGTCTTGTCGAGAGTGTGGGACTAAGAAAAAAAATTCGGATTCCCCACGAGGGATCGAACCTCAGACCTGAGCCACAAGGACTCTATTACGAAGACACGCGTCCGGCATACTGTTAGGATCAGCAATGTCGATAGCGTCATGTTGATAAATAGAATAAGACAGATGGTAAGTTTTCAGCTCGGCAAAGGATTTTTTTCTTTGTCCCACGCTGGTGACATGACGAAAAACATCTTTATCTAACTTAAATGTAGTTTAAATGTTTCAATTCTTAACCATTTTATCCCTATTTTCTATACGTTTTGACTATTAGTATAGGTAATCACATGATTTCGAGTGCAATTTGGAATAGGCAAGAGTAAATTTTTTCAAAGAGCAACAAAATTGCATGAGCCCGTAGGGCGAGTACAATTTGTAGTCTCTGAATAAATTAACAAGTGCTTATTTATTCCAAATTGCACGAGGAAAATCATGTGATTACGTATTAATAATATACATGACAAAATACGAGATAGCTGATCACAGTTATGCAGAAGCAAAGCGCGCGCATCAAGTGCAAAAATAATGCTGGGTCAGCTCGTAATTTTCGATTTCCTTGGCAATTCCCTTATCTAAACACCACTTTTTTCAAACCGACACCCAAAAAGCAGTGCTTTTTACAGTTTTTTCGTTGTTAGAACTGTTTTTCGGCTGCTGTATTGTTGTTGCGGTGGCGAAAGAAAACCTTCTTAAAACGCCGGCAAATGCTTCCCTCGCAAATTTTCAGGGTATCCAAATGTTGCGATATCCAAGGCTCGCATGCGATTTGCTATCTGTGAGTTTCTTTGATTATTGACCAATTAGAATGTCTGGTTTGTTACTTCTTTGCACTGAATTAACCCTCTTCTACATTGTATTACAAGAAAACTGCATTGATCTTAACCAATCAGAACTGAGTAATTTTTTCATTTATACTATTATACTTGTAATGACCAACGGTTCACACTAGCTGTTGTCTATAAGATCCACCGATTCGTCTTCAAGTTTAAACAAAGCTTCTATTACCATTATAACAGTTTTCATCCTTGTAATTATTACTAGTACCATCATCATCATCATCACTGTTACTATCATCATTATCATAATCATAATGAGTATAGACTTAGTAAGATTCCCTGATACAAAAACAGGGAAGAGAAGATTCTCTTTTGACTTAAACTTACTTTCTAATCAATCTAAAAGTTTCCTCCCATTGGTTTAACTTTTGGACCGTTTGAATAATCGATGGGTTGAACTTA